ATCCTTTCATGAATTTGTTATGTAATGTTAAGTAATAACTTACGCTGTCCTCAGCAGCATTGACATTGACTCCCTCGGCCAGGAGTTATTTAACTCTGTCCTCCTCACCTCGCCCGGCGGCTTTTCTCAGCTCCTGTACAAATCGTCAACGAAGTCATCAGAATCGTCAAAACTACTTTGAAATTCATGCTCCGAATACTTTTGATTAGTCTTACTAATACATTGTAATAATGTGTTGGATGTTGGCAATAAACACAGTCAATGAAATCTGGGGAAGGGTTTTTATAAGCTTTCAAATTTGATTTGTTGCAAAAGTTGGACAATATTGAAGTGATCATCATTATTCCAGGCTTCTATTGGTTCACGGTCCATTTTTCTACTTGGTGCAGTCATGCTAGTACTAGTAGTAGTATAGCCATGTTTGTTCTTGCTGACTGTGGACTTGAGAAGAAGTGTTTGACCAACCTGTTCTTTCTCCTCCATGAGTTTTTCTGCTGTAGTTCTGCTGTTGTGAAACACACCGGTGTATCCTGGTGATGTCCTAAGTCTGCTGGGCCAGATTTAGTCCATTCTGATGCAGTTTTCCTGCATTCTCTGTAAAAGGCAAATGTCAGACGAGCAGTTATGTAGTTACCGCTCCATCCGCCATTTTGGTTACAAGGTCAGAAGGTCACAGGTGCTTTTGTTGGGCACAGGTACCGTAACAAGACAAACAACACAGTGTCGGCTCCTTTTGATTCGCTGTTCACAGCAAAATGAACAAAAAGAATGTGGGAAAGTGTCCCTGAGATGGATATCGTTTGTGATGTTTCTAATACCGATAAGTTGAGTTAACCACTAGCATCAGTGAGAGTCCCAGGGGCTACACAACACAGCAGGCGTCACGCATGGACTCCCTGTGTGTGTATCAACACACAGCAGCAAACAATGTCAGACTGGTCAACATTCAACCTATGTACAATGTACTGAAAAAAAAAATGTGGTTTATGGAGGGTGGGTCAGTGGAAGTTCTCAATAATGTAACATGTGTAACGTTAGTAACTACACAAATCGCACAAGCTTAGATGTTACTTCTAATAATAGTTTTATGGACCTGAGGATGATAAAATAAAATGATATAAAAATAAGGCTTATGTGAGTTGTTGACATTCCTTAAATCAAGAATGATTAACTCAAGTGTTTAAAAAAAGGAAGAGCCAAGACATTCTGTGCAGCCCAGCTCTCAGTAACAACTTTTATCCACCGTTGACAGGGAGCTTAAATTGTCGATTGAATACCCTTTGCTTAATTTTACAGCATCTCACAGTGAAGTAATTTAGTTGTTTTTTCATCAGTAGAAAGACTGGGCAACAAACAGCACAACACAGCTCCTCCACTCATGAGACCTAACATGAGACCTAAACTGTATAATTCCGTCAGAACTTTGCACACAGTCAGGCTATATTATTAGTTGGTGCAAACATTCTACAATGAAAGCTGACTTGGTTGGTGTTGATTGTTTCAGGCATGGGGGAGGGGCACACGCACACACGAGTTATCAAATAGCGTAAAAAAATCTCACTTTCATATTTCGATCAAACTGGTCGCTTCCTCAATACCCCCACGGCCCGTACGCGATGAAGTGGTACAAGGCTCATGAGATTTTAGGTTCCAGCAGTATATTAGATTATTGAAGCTGGTCAATTTGGTTCCAGTTAAAAGTGCTCCGAATTCGTATTATGTTTAATTTGAAACAAATACTAGTAAAAGTGATCCGAAGTCAAGAAGGAACCTTGCACAAGACCCTGGATCTACCTACAATATCTCAAGACTTTTCTGACTTACCTAAAAGTGTTCTAGGGAAGATTGTGAAGTTATTTTGGTCTGGAGAAACCAACAAACACCACAAGGGAACTTCCGAAGTTCCTCTTTTCTTTTCAAACCGCGCCTGACTTCCGGGTTGGTCACGTGACGGCCACTCCCGGCAGGTGAGCTGAATGATGGTTATCTTGGGGGATTCCGCAAAAAAAATGAATGGGAGATTTCAACTAAAAGGATGTCCGCAAATCCTACATACATATCCTCTACATCCGTCTGCCGTATCACTCAAAAATCCATACAACACAAAGTAGTACAAGTTTATATCACCCTTTTAATTGGACGATGCAGAATTTTCTTTAATTCTAAAATCATTGACACCGCTAAGTAATTATTAGGGATGTCGTAATCAAACAAGAATCAACTTTGTTGCTTATTAAAAAAGACAGGGTCTGCGGATGGGTATGGCAGGGTGAAGAGTTTGCCGGTCACAACTTGGGTTCTAGCCTCGGTACCATCCGGATCCGGCTCCACAACGATCGTGATTTTTTTCATTGAGCGTTGCGCAGCGAAAATCCGGATGGTACCCAGGCTATTGGGCTACCGTATCTCCTCTATATTCAATCGCTGTCAGAAAGTAGTACCCTTCGCGTTCAACCATTTGATTTAAAAGAATCGAATACTATTAACGTTTTTTTTACAGAGAAATTTTGTGTCACGTTAAGACTAGATTTTTTTTTCTCTCGCCATGATGTTTAGTTTTGTGATTTTACTGAGAAAGTTTCCTGCGGAAGAATATGCTCCCAGAGAATATGTGTGAGACAACCCCCCAAACCACAGACAAGCCAGATTCCGTCTAGTGATAGGCCGGGTTCGGTGTTCGTCCCTCATTTTGGGGATTTTGTTCTGTTTCTTGGTTGCGGTTGGTCAGTTCTCTCGTTTAAACTCTCCCCATGTGTTCATGAGTCTGTTGAGCTATCGTAGAAGGTAGGTAGCTATCGCTGCCGTAAATTTTTATGCATTTTGTGGGCTTGAGACTTCTGTCGTTATCTTGGGGAGATGCAACTTACGAGCTTGGGAGTGCTTGAGGATGTTGACAAGAAATTTCGGCCTCGAAACAAAACCTACTAGCTTGGGAGAGTGTTGGGTTGCCATAGAAGGTTGCTAAAGTCTTTAGTGTTGGAAATTTCCCTGTTTTCCCTACTTTTGCTCAGTTTTGCCCGGGGTTCGAATTTTTACCTGACCGCCACCTTTGTGTTGGCTGGCTTCAAGCGCGGACATGACCCTGTTCGTGTGCGGACATGTCTCATTTATGGTTTGAGGCGTTACTTATGCCACTCGCTTCGTTTCTTGCGTTTCTAATAGTAGCAACCGTGATACCAACCTGCAATTACAAGCTCATTTTTTTTTCATCGGACATTTACAGTATTTGGAACCGTTTGGACTTTGTTATCCGGGCCGACTTGCATAAAAAAAAAACTCTGGAGATTCCAGCCAGTTCGGGGTTAATATAATAACGTTAGTCAGGGTTAAAATTCACTGGTCAGCTTCTTGGAAACCCACACTTCAGGGACCGTTTTTTAAACGGATGGAGCTGATTCAGTGTAGCTAGATGAGCTGGCTGGAAGATCCACGGATTGGCTTTACGATGCAAGTTACCTGGTAGAAAACATGTCGTTGCGGTTCTAAGATACAATGAAAGGGGCTTGACTTTTTTTTACGTCCCAAAATTGGGGAGCTAGGACACACTTTTTTACAGATGCGTACTGCCTATGTGCTTAGGCCAGATGCTGGCCCCTTGCTTCCCTCTGTCAGGTTCCTCCAGCCAGCTCTATCAAGTGCAATAGTCTCTGCTTCTTATAGAGTAAGACCTGTATCACTCTGGATCTGGTCCTTCCACCTCTTGGGTGGTTCTGTGGAAAATGTGTATGACTATGATCTAAAAACAGCAGAAATATATTTAACAATTTAAAGAGTTAAACTAACCTCAAGTATTGAGGGTCAAAAAAGGTTAAATAATTTTTGCAAAGGGATACTTTGCTTAAAAAAATAAGCTATACGGTGTCATGAATTTTTGTTGCATTATCATCTATTCTATATAAATAGTATTTTTTAATGGTTCACACGTGCGCGAAAAAAATTATCTGGCGAGTGTGAGCTGTCACCTTGACCAAATTATGGTGCTGTGTGATTTTATTTTGCAACCCTTCACAACAAATAAACGTTCAACATTTAACCTTTTGTATATTTATTGCTCCACGTGTGTATCACAACTATTTTAAAGCTATCTTGGGGGGATCCCATTGAGACAAAATAGACACAAGATAGTCCAAGTTTATATCATCGTCCAATCACGTCGTGATTGGACGATGCAGAATTTTCTTTACATCTACAATCATTAACAACATTAACTAATTATTATTAACGCCGTAATCAAACGAGAATGAATTTTGTTGCTTCAAAAAGAAAGGATCTGCGGATACGTCAATGAAGGTTAGATAGATATAACTGGATAGAAGGATTTCCCGCCATCACGGCTGCGAAATCGGAAAACGTATCACCTTCATATTCAGACGCTGACAGAAAGTAGTACCGTACGTGTTCAGTACTTGAAAAGTACAGAAAGCTACTGACGTTTTCTCACTGGAAAATTTTTTTGTTACGTTAAGACTGTATTATTGTCTCTCGCTATGTTGTTTATCTTTATTATTTGACTATAAAAATTTACCGCGGAGGGATATGTACTACTGTGAGAGAAAACGCAGTCTCCTAAGGTGCTCTGTGCGGGTGGGTTTTGATCTGTGGTCATTTGCTCTATTTTTGGTTGCGGTTTTTGGTCAGTTCTTTTCGTTTTAACTCTCCCGGCATGTGTTCCGAAGACTGTTGAGCTATCGTAGAAGGTAGCTATTGCTGGCGGCGTCCAAAATTTTCGTGCATTTGTGGGCTTAATACTTTTATCGTTGAAGTTGACTTCACCGCCATCTTGGGGGCGGGGCGGTCTTTCTCTCCTTTTTAGTTTTGCTATCACATTCCTCTCTTCCTAGTCTCTTATATTCTCCTGCCATGGAAGGTTCTACGGAGGTGCTTGAAAACGTTGGATGAAACACCCCCGTTGGGTTTTCTACCACCTTGGCTTTACATCCTTTCCTTTCCTTCCTGCATCGCCAGTGCTGGCCTGTTTTTGTTTTGCTGCAACAAAAATATTACATTTCATTTCAAATATTTCATGTATAATATATAGCCACATAAATTGCAAACACCCCCTTTGGGTTCTCTACAACCCTGGCTTTGCAATGTTGTTTCCTTTCGTACTGGGGGTGGGTGGTTGTGTTCACTGGGAAGGGGAGTAAAAACGCCCTTTGGCTCCTCTTTTACTCTGGCTTTGCAATGTTGTTTCCTTTCTCTGCATCGCCAATACTTATTTGATCTGCAACAAAAATATTACATTTGTTAGAATCGGCCTCATATATTGCATTACTTCTTCATCTGTAAGTGTACCGTTGGGGAGGATGAGTATGTTCCTCCTTCCGAATAAATTCTCCAGTGAGAGTTACATGCACTTTGGCATTGCATCGAGCTTTTCGAGCCCACCTGCACCGCCAGTGCTGGCCTGTACTTGTCATGCTGCAACAAAAATATACGTACTGGGGGGTACGTGTGCGCTGTGGCGCTTGCATGAAATACCCCGATGGGTTCCTCTGTCACACTTGCTGTAGTGTTGTGCCTTGTGGTTCTTTGAAGTGGAATATTACCATGAAACACATCATGAGAAATCTGTACCTTTCAAATATGAAACCCACAATTTGTAAAATGCTATATTTACTCACCATCATGGGCAGATAAACCTGGGTGACGAACACCAGAAACTGTCTCAGTGCCTGCAGCTCCTGTGCCTGTAAACATCAGACAAATATCTATTAATGATTGCTAGCTTCTGTATATATAAGTTCTATTTTTATTGCTTTTTGTGTAGAGATGCGTGACTTCTAGACTGTTTGGGGTTGTGGAGCTTTTTATTTTATTTACTACAATTCTCCACAAACACATCTACATGGAAGGCATGGTGAGACAGGTAGACCTAAGTACACCTTTTCAAGGTTCACCAACAAATTAAATTGGTGTGGCCTAAATGCTATAATTATCTGCACGCTTCACTCTATGTAGTTTGAAATGAATGACAAACAATTGGTGTGTCCTAAATGCTGTATTTACTGACCAGCATGGGCAGCAAAACCTGGGTCACAAAGAGAAGGAATCTCCTCAGCGCCTTCAGCTCCTGTGCCTGTAAGCACCAGACAAATATCTCTATTAATGAGTGCTTGCTTCTGTATATATGAGTTCTATTTTCATTGCTTGTTGTGTAGAGATGCTTGACTTCTAGACTGTTTGGGGTTGGGTGTTAGCCAGCTCTTAGTGAGCTCAAATCATAAAAATTACTTGCTGTCGCCTAAATGCTATATTTACTCACCAACATGGCAGCAAAACCTGTGTGATAAAGAACACAAATCGTCGGAGGGACAGCAGCTCCGCATCCAGGTCCTGCCTGCTCCTCCTCCCTCTCTGTCCTCAGGTCACCTCTGCCCTCTCGAATCTCCTGTAAACATCAGACAAATATCTATTAATGAGAGTGGTTGCTTCTGTATGAGTTCTATTTTCATTGCACCAGCATGGGCAGCAACACCTTGGTCACAAACGCCGAAGTGTGACGAGTTAATCCTTGGCGCTCTATCTCTCCTTCTTCCTCCTCTCTACAATCAGACAAATATCTATAAATGAGTGCTTGCTTCTGTATGAGTTCTATTTTCAACTGTAGGCATATTGCATTACTTCTTCGTTATATTTTAAAATTTGCAAGCGTGGTTATGGTCACTGTTCACCACTGTAAACAGACCCTTTGGCTCCTCTTTTACTCTGGCTTTTGCAATGTTGTTTCCTTTCTCTGCATCGCCAATACTTATTTGATCTGCAACAAAAATATTACATTTGTTAGAATCGGCCTCATATATTGCATTACTTCTTCATCTGTAAGTGTAACGTTATATTTTAAAATTTGCAAGCAGGTACATGTACGTACTGGCGGTGGATGATTGTGTTCCTCCTTCCGAATAAATTCCCCAGTGAGAGTTTGATGCAC